TAGTAAAATTAAAAAATTTCCATAATAAAGCTTATAAAATATGTTTTAAATAAAATATTGTATATATAAATTATACCCCATATTATTAATAAATTTTAATTTTATTTAAAAATTTGTAAATACTTTTCAATTTTCCAGGCAAATTTGCCTGGAATACGGTTTAAAGAATAATAATTAAATCATAACTCTGGTACCTTAAGCATAATTTGCAGCTTTGGTAAACATAATGTTGGTAGAATTAAATCGTACCTTTGTTAAACAAAACATATCTTATAATTTTGGTAGAATTAATTCATAACTCTGATAAACATAATTTTGGTAAATACTGGTAAACATAATGTTAGTTGAATTAATTTGTAACTCTGGAAACACAATATTGATAAAATTAATTTGTAACTCTTGGTAGAATTAATTTTTAACTCTGGTAATAAACATAATGTTGGTAGAAATAGACATTTTTTATTATATAACTATTAATTTCTAACTTTAGTTTAAATACTAACTCTAACTACAATTAAAATTTTAATTAATATAAAATATTTTAATTTTGTGTTTAGTATTACAATAACATAATATATTATTAAATTATATATTTTAAATATATATTTAATACTATATATTAACTAAATTTAAAAACTAGTTATTTTTTTTAAATTACTAAAACAATTACAAAAAATAATTTATAATAAATTTTAGAAGTAAATACTCTTTATTTAAAATTGTTTATAAATATTTATAAGTTATACTTTTAGCATAATATATTAATATTTTTTTTATTTTAATACAGATTATATAAAGTTTTTATAAATAGCAATATATAAATTTTAAAATGGCGGATGACGAAAAGATACAAATTTTAAAGCTTAAAAATACTTTTAAAGAATTCCAATTTTGTATACAAAAAGTAGCAAGTATCAGTTGATCCAATTCAAGTTGAAATCTTTTAATTAATTTTTTCTTTGTTCTATGCATAAATCCATAGTTACAAACACAACTTTTTAAAAAATTCACAATACATATCTGATATCTAATTCAAAATTAGATTGCTACTAAATTACTCAAAATTTGTTAATAATCGATAATGTATCGACCTGAAAATTATTACACATTTCACGTGTTATTATTGATAACTAAAATAACCAAACAGCGATAACCGTTTGTTGAAAGGGAGAATCAAATTTTTAAAAAACTGACCTTATTAACATACATTTGGCTTATAATTAAATACTCGGGCACCAAAATTTTCTATGTATTTAATTGTAAATACAATGTTAGTTAAAAAGGCCTTTTATGAATTTGCACTTTACTAAATTTTAAGTACAAAATTTCCTTGAGGTTGATTTTGGGGTCTGAATCAAATCGGCCGATATGGGACTGCAAACTGTAAAAATTAACATTGTGCGTGAATCAAATTAAATACTGGTATGGTGGTGAAATTACATCAAAATAAACAAATACATCTAATATAATTCCAAACAGGAAAGCTCCCAAAGTAAAAATAACAACCAATAATAAAAAAGAACTAATGAGGCACGAATTTTATAAATCACAAAATTTTGATTGCGGAGTAATTTTGCCTAATTTACACTAAATTTATTAGTTCATCGTAGAATTTATTTGTTCAAAATTGTGAAAATACATCTAGCGTAAAATAATTCAAACACTAATAATAAATGAATACAGTTAAAAAAGATAAACATGTAGAATGCGTATCCTATAAATCCTGATTTCGCAAAGTGATGAATTTTAAGTTCTCCTATAAAAAAAACCTTAAATGTAAAAATCTTAATTAATACTCTAATTTGAGGTATCAATTTAATCAATTTAAAAATAATAAAAAACTTTTGTACCTAAAAGACAAAACCATCTAATGCAGTTCAAGACAGAAAACCAACTAAAATCTGCAGTAAAAAGGAAGATAAAAATAAACAAATATTTAATAAGTCTAAAAAAAACTTGAGGCTCCGATCTCGCAAATGTAGCAAAATTAATAACATACTGTAACATTAAGACAATTTCAATCCAAGATCCAATTAAATGTTGTAATGCCTAATAATTAAAAAAAAAACACTAATTCACCAACACAAATATATTATTGTATGATTAAAAATAAAAAGCAACGAACGTTAACAATATACAAAGTTCTGGAAACAAGACATCTGAAAGTTAGGATAACTTTGAGTAAATGAAGCCACACTTCATCTCGTTCTTTAATTATTTTTACAAGTTAGAGATAAAATGAAGTATGCTCTGATAATTTATATTAAAGTATATTTGCTTTATAGTTATAATAGGAGCGCAATTAACAGTGTTTTATATATATGACTAATTGAATACCTTTGTATAAAAATAAATCAAATTCCCATCCGGAATGCTTAAGAATATTCTTTCAAAATTGACAATCTTTATACAAAAAGTCTTTGTATTAAGCCTAGAAACACGCGTAGTTATTAGACATTGTTTGCATAATTATTACTTTATTCTTTACACTTACTTAAACAAATTACGTTAATTAATAAAAAATTTTTAGTTTACATGTAACAATGGTTATTTTATTCGTGTTGCTATGTGAGAATGATTAGCGAAAAGTCTATAGTTTATTCTGTTTTAAAGTAAACTAGGATATATATATATTAATTATAGCTCACCTCTTTATAGTAACTAATTTTATAGAATGAAATTAGTCTTTTTCGAATGGTAGAAAACAAAGAAATTTTTCTATTAATAACGTATTTTGAATAAATATTTAAGAACAAAATATCTTCTTACGCATCTTTTATCCAAAAATGGATAACAGGAAATATTCGATTCTTACATAATTAAAGTTTTTTGTTAGAATAGATTGTAATAGTCTTAGACTTGTATATCAATTAAATAAACTATATCTTTCCTGAAGCGATTACTAATTAATTGACAATCTTATAAGTGAAGTCTTGATACAAAGAAATGAAACTTTTTTGGCATCAAAATTCTTTTCATTCTTAAAAAGGTCTTTTGTCCGAATGGCTAATTTTTTTGTACTATTATTGAAATTCTTATGATTTTAGTGAATAATTAACAAAAAATATAAAAGGCGCGCGCTATAACTCCAAAAAAAATATTTAATTCAAACTAAAATACCAAAACAACATCAAAAAATTTCATGCGAATTCTGTCCCAAACGAAAAATTGCATTGACTACATTACCAAACTATGTAGGAAATTAAAGAATCAGAAAATTCTAATTAGTAAAAATTTAAGATCCGATTAGAGCTAGCTTTGAAATTTTCGAAAATCTAGAAAATTTCAAGAATTTTCTCTGATATAGTCTGTATTTGTTCACACCTTTTTACAGCTGTTTTTAAATAGATGTGAACAACAATTCCCATACACCTATGTGGGAAATCGAAGAATCAGGAAATCCTTAGTAAAAATTGAAGATACGATTAGAGCTGGCTTTGAAATCTATCTTATTCAAATTAAGAAGAATTTATTAAATAAATGATTAGTTGAATGAATACATGGCAATACAAAGCAAATTCCTAATACAAAAAATCGTTCAACGATTGATCAAACAGTATCAACTTTAGTATCAGTAATTAGTTAACATTCATAATATTCTTCTCCAGGTCAATATTTACAACACAATACAAAAAATCACAGTATAATTTTTTAAGAAACAATAATAATTACAGTCAGACCTTAATATAATCACCAGGTTGGTAAACAAAAATTTGATTATAAAAGGTTGTGACTATATAAATATTAAATTTTATATGTTTTATAATAGCTAGAATTATAACAATGCTGTGATTATATCAAGAGTGACTATAACAAGGTCTAACTGTATAATATTTTCCTTAATGTAAACTTTTAATTAAAGATGAAAAACTATCCTGATGCAGAATTAACATCTAAATAAAGCCGAACTCACATCTAAGTTTTGGAATTTTTCTTCATAAAAGCAATCATCTATCATATAAGATTGTATTAAATCTTAATTCTATGTTGAAACAAGTAATCATAATGAGGTTTGCTTTTAGCAATTAAGTCATAAACATGTTGAGGATATTCAATTTCTTTTTCACCATTGATTGATTTGTCAAATCCTGTACTTTGCATCACATTCCTGTTTTTTATTTATAATATGTATCTAGTTAATATATGAAAAGAAAAATTACTTGAAAATAATAAACATACTTATGCCACAAATAATCTATATCTGGGCCTGACAATTTTAAATCCCATATTTTCAACCTTTCTTCTTTCCATTCAAGCATTTCTTTCTTAAACTCTATATTAACCATCTCACAATATTTTCTAAAAACTTTTTCCGGTTCTCGAACTAAATCATCAGCATCTACTAAAACAATATCCTCTCCAGTTATGTTCTTAGTCTAATCATAAAGAATCCTTGATTCTTTGAGCCAAACTTTTTCAGGAAAAAAAATGTCATATCTTTCAGAATTAGGTACGCAGGCTTTATCCCAAGCTTTATATGTAGAATTGGCAGCTTTGTAAAAAAACTTTACGGATTTTTCTGGATTTCTAATTATGAATGTGTGTTTAAATTTTGAAAGAATTTCCTTGGATCCTAACGGATTTCCGTCTAGATTTCCTTCAAATGCATCTAAAAAATTGGATGCATGTTCCTTCGCAAAAACTCTTAAGGTATGTGTTTTATCATCATTATAGTAATGAGGAGCAAGAATTTCATTAAGAGTAGGTGAGAAATGATGTACAAAAGTGATCGGATCAGTAGGTTTAGGTAACGGAATTTGATTCAAAAATTCAAAGTTTTTGGTCACATAAGCACGACTTATTGGATTAATTGGTTCATGGATAACATGAAATTCTTGAGGACGTTGAAGAAACGGTCGTTCAAAAACCGTAGAAAGAGATCTTGGATGGGACCAAAGAACAATGGGTCTTTGATCCTCCATTTTTAAATGAGCAAATTCAATCTTATTCGTTCCTTTTATTAAGTTGTGTAATGTAATACAAATATTAAGGGATCTGCAAGTTGCAGCTCATATGAAATTTATGTAAGTTTTAAAAATGAATTAACCTCAATTGTTCTTATATTTCACGATGATTATTTATTGTCACGATGCTGAAGCTCACGTAACATATTAGTTTAATTGTTGCAACATTCTCAGCATTTAATGTAAATAAAATTGATTTTCAGTGTTAATAAATAAATTGCGTATTTTGAAATTAAATGAATCGTATTACCAAACTTAATACGCGTGATTAATTTGCTTTAAGATTATTCAACAGATTTTAATTTATAGAAACTACTATTTTATCTTATCATTAATATTTCAATTTGTTATTATATATTTAAATTTGTAATTAGATATTTAAAAATTCCTTGCAAAAGTTTACTATATCCGAACCTTAAATTTCGATTTGTTTTTGTATTTATCATAACGTTACACGATCTAATTGGTCGACTTCTAATTTAATTTTTTTTCTATTTCATATAATTGAAAAATTATCATTTTGAAGCTTTATTGGAGTTAGAAGAAAATGTAATTTCGAAATTATTACATGTTTAATCAATTTTATTAATTTGCTGCTGGGAAATGACTAATTCAAGTATTGTCTGCACTTAAGTCATTTAAATTATCATACACTGATTTGATTTCTGGACGATTACTAGGTTCTTGATCCCAGCATTGTTCGTAAAGCCTACGATATTGTAATGGTGTCCCTTCCACAGGAGTCTCTCTCTTTCCTTGAAATACGTAAATAATGATTGCATCTTTGGAATTGAATGTTTGAAATGGTAGTTTACCACTTGAAATTTCCCAGAGAATTACACCAAAGCTATAAATGTCGGATTTTTTATCACGTATAAATGAACTATCAATAAAACATTTTGGATCTGTATATGCGGCCATTCCATGAACATTTTTGTTTTGTATTAATTTATCACTATAATTATGTGACAAACCAAAATCTGCAATCATCATTCTCCGTTCATGAACCAATATGTTCATGGAATTCTGCAAAAACATTATGATCAACTTTAGCACATAAAGTAATATCTTTATAACTCATAAAACATACTTACTAAGTCTTGATGTACAATATTCTGATTATGTAAGAATAAAAGGCCTTGCGCTATTTCCTTTGCAATACGATATTTGTCTGTCCATTTTAAAGCTAGAAAATTTTTTCTTAGATACTCCCTCAAATTTCCCTCATTAGCAAACTGCAAAATCAAGATATAATGACCGTTGAAAGGATCTACATTTATAATTAAAAATTGGGTTATAAAATGTTAATGGGCGCGGACAAATTCAAACATTAGTAGTCATTGCTTTTGTTATTTTAATTCGCGAAGTTGTGATTATTGAAGCAGGATACATACCTTTAGTTATACCAAATAAAGAATCTATATTAGGATGTAAACTTAATCTTCGTAAGAATTTATGCTGTTTAATAATTAAAAAAAAAAAAAATTAAATAATTTTTAATTTTTTTTCGATCATTTCAGATAGCAAGAATACTATTAAATATACCTCATTAACGAACTCATCAGATTTTGCATTAATTTTAAACTTTTAAGAGCAACAGTTAACCCATAACCTTTCCACTCTGCTTTTTGTATTGTTTCAAATCCTCCACCAATTTTTTCCACGTTAGCAAAATCATCATAATCATAGAAATTTATAAGGTTTCCGGAAATCAACTTTTTTATCGTTTTTTCTGATTCATTCGAAGAATCCATATGATTTAACTTTGATATTAACTATAGAGATTAAATCTTTCCTATTTATTATATATTTTTTATTTTAAATTTGTTTACCACGTGATAAAACCAAAACATAGTGCCGTTAAAGGTTCACTAAAAAAGTAACGTTAGTATAATAGGATAATTTTGTAAGATACTAAGAATGCTTTATGTGAATTTATATACTATTCTAAATTCTTTAGTTAAGTAAAGACTCGATCCGTTATGGACTGGGATTTCGAGTCAGTTCTGTTAAATGCACCGGGTTGGATTTTTCACCTCGCATGACAAACTTGTAATAAGTTTTATTCACCAATTGATTATCACCAAAATATTTTCTAAATCTTGTCTTGTTTATTATAATTAATTGAAAAATCAAATAAGTAAATTTAATAGTTCAACGTAAAATAATGGATTTTTTTTTTTTTTTTTCTGGTTTGGATCACAATTAATCAAAGAAATTATGTAATAGATAATCTACACTTACTCATCACAATACAGGGATCTCAAAGATAATAAAATATTATGCAAAATTGAAAGTGATAATCTGTCTATTGTTTTCTGATTTCGGATCACAATTAATTGTATGTTGTATAGTAACTCATTCCAATATTAATTATTCGAATAAAATAGTTAATACTAATTGTGAAAAAGATTAGTTTATGCTTAATTAAAACAAATATTTTAATTTATATAAATTAGTGAAATGAGATTTAAATTAAATTTTCTCCATCGCCAATAAAGTTCAATAGATTCTGAATGAAACCAATGAATACTAGCATTTACGTCAGTAATACTCAAAAAGGTCCATTACTATTTAATTCAAACAAATATTTAATTTGGATAAATTTATATTTAATGTTGTGAAATGGGATTGAAATAAATTTTCTCCATTGTCGATAAAGCCCAATAGATCTGCAAATGGTATTCTGAATGAAACTAACGGAGTACTCTATTAGATTAATAAAACTATAAATACTGTCAAAATTAAGCAAGTTCTGTATGGTATTCAAATACAAGTGTTATAGTTATCTTCCTCTGATTCATTTTTTACTAGTTATTCGAATGATGCCTTCTTTTCGAAACACAACATGGACTAAATCTTTCAGCCAAAGGGTTCATTATAAAGAGGATAAATAAATAACACATATAACAGACATTATATTTCAAAGTTCATCATGCTTATATGAAGGCTTGGTTGGATCTGTAGAGTCATCATCAGCATCAGTTGAAGGTTTGACAGAGGGTTCATCACGATCAAACTCTTTAAATAAATTCTCATGTTTCTTTAGTTCTGAACTCTTTTTTTCTGTGAGATCAGCATCTTCGGCTGGTACAATATTGATTTCAGGTTTTGCATTAAGATCTATACCCAAATTTTTTCTCAAGATTCTTTCAACCATTTCCGCGTATCAAATAAAGAAAAATCAGTTTAAATAATTATCATATAAGTTACAGATATAAAACCAAAAAATGACATACAACTATAAAAACATACTTTAAATTATCTTTCAAATCATAACCGGATCTAATTAATGTAGATTCATATAAAACCTGGACTAATTCTTTTGAAGTTTCATCGGTTTGGCCTTTTTCGACTCTATCCAATAATCCAAGAAGAAGTGGATGATATGGATTAATTTCTAAGATTTTCTTTTGCTTTGCATAGAACTCTTTTAGGAATTCATTCTCTTGTTTAAAAGGTTGTGCTAAATTTATTAGTTGATTTATTAGTTGAGAAGTTGGTAAAAGTATAAATGTGATAAAAAAAAGAATTACCGGCCATCATCCTTTCCATATGTCCAGTTCATTCGCGACGACGGCACGGGAGATGTAGTAAGACGATTTGATATTCTAACTAATAAAAATTCATTAAAATATAAGTTAAACATTATCAAAATTATTATTGGTTAAACAAAACAAATAAAAAAAATATACATATATATATAAACCAACTTTTTTCGACTTGATCAGCAAGTACAACTTCAGTCAATTTGGCAAACTTGAATTTTATTTCAGCAGTTGACTCAAAACCTTTAGGATCAATATTGATGTCACCCTTTGCGATATTTTGAACCATTTTACCTCCATGTCCAGGCATATGTTGAACCAACATTTCATCAATAGGTTCAACCATATACAACACTTCATAACCTCTTGCCACAAAATCTTCGATAAAAGGAGATTTTTCAACTTCTTCAACGGAAGAACCAGTGACAAAATACATTTTATCCTGATCTTTTTTCATTCTACTAATATAATCATCTATAGTAGTCCAATTTGAACCTTTATAAGAACTTGGGAATTTTAATAAATGAGCGATCTTCTTTCTGTTTTCATTATCTTCGATAGCTCCAACCTTTAAACTTGTTCCAATAAGTTCAAGTTTAATTCCATATTCTTCAAAATATTTCTTGTAAAAAATATGAGCAGCCTTTAAAAAACAAAAGTTAGTTTTTGTCTAATAAAATAATGTAAATTTAAATTTGCCTTAACAAGAATTAAAAAAAAATACAAGGTGAGAATTAGTCCCATGAGGGCCAAGGAAGGCCAGTTTGCCGTCGGAAAATGAAATGAATAATACAATTCATTAAAAAGTTAGTACCGTATTATCCCGATATAACGCCCCGGGGGTGTACGTAGATTGAATAGAGCTAATAATTAATTTAGAAGAATTTTAATAACAAAAAATTATAATTCACTTTCGGCTAAATTATTTACTAGCTCTCTTCAATCTACGTACACCCCGGGGGCGTTAAACTCAGTTCATTCTCAGACGGCATCAATATGCCGTCTGAAAACGAAGTGAGTTCAAAATATTTGATGTCAAATACGACTTAAAGCGCAAATAGTGTTTATGCTCAGGATAACTATTCAGAAAAGACCATCATATAATTAAAGCACATTTAACACTTATGAAGGAAATACTGTATCTAGTGATACAAATCGAAATCGAAATTAATCGATTAGTTGGTTAGTTGACAACTAATCGACTGAACTTTTCAGATACCAGCTAATCGATTAATCGATTAATCGACTAATCGATTAGTTGCAACTAATCAACCAAAGAATTAATTGATTAGTTGCAAAGAATCGATTGAAAAATCATTTATTTACTTAATGAATTAGTTGCAACTAATCGATTAATCGATTAATCGACCAGTTGCAACTAATCGATTAATCGATCAGTTGCAATTAATCGATTAGTTGCAACCAACTGAAAAAATAATGACTAACTAATCGATTGAAAAAATTTTGACGATTTGTAACACTAACTGTATCATTTTGAAATAACACCGACATTTTATGAAATTTAGATGATTAGTCGAATTTATAAATCACGGTTATTGGTTCATGTTTGATTCCTGTTTCCCCAAACCAAAAATAATATAATCACGAATTAGAATTTACCTTCCTATCATAGTAAACCCATCACAAATCAGTTTTCAAAGTAAAGATCTATTTAACCAAATACAGATTTATGATAACGATAAGCTAAATGTGAATTAATGTCTTAAATCCCATAATTTTTCTTATGCATACAAATCACTGCCACAAATTTACTACCGGCCGCTATTGCCAAATATTTACGTATTTTGATTTTCAACTACCTTGGTCAAAAATTTAGTAAATGTGTTGACCCCGGTGGTTAACATTCGTTGATTATCGTCACGAAATTTAATATCCTTGTATTTAACCAAACCGATCGCATAATAAGAAAGTCCGAAAAATTTTCCTCGAATATCGCTTAGATGCCGTTTAATGTCGTCAATATTATCATATTCATAATTAATTAAATCACAAACGAAGAAATAAAATTTTCGATATATTACGACCAAATCGACTCCGAAATAGCCAATTGTTCGATCATCTTTATCGACGTCCAATCCCAAAATTGGGAAATTAAACTCTTTCGCCACGGGATAAATCGAATTCAAATTAAAATCATTTCGAAAATGTTTCACGACCTTTTCTACCAACAATATATTCATTGGATGTATATCAAGACGTTCATTTCGACAATTAAAATTGACTGAATGACTAGCATTGGACTTAATTATCTGAATAATTGTATCAAAATATCTTTGACGAGCATAACAATAAAACTTATTCGTATTGATTGGCGCGATTCCACTTCATTAAATCCTTTGTGTGAGAATATAAATGCGATGAACTCTAAAGTTTCTTGTTCTAACACATTTCGAAAATTTCCAATATCCTCGCGATTAAGATACGTACTTTTTATTTGAATATAAAATAATTTACCACCATAACATCCTTGTATATCAATTCCTCCATCCCCGTATCCCTTCGGTTTTCTAATAATACAAGGGATACCTTCGTCTAATAGCTTTTTCGCATAAAGCAATTCAAAAAAATCACCTTTTTCTGTACATTTATCACGATTCGACTGACTTTGAACTATCGACGAAACTTGAACTATTGTGTTTGAAACATCATCTACAAGTTCCAAAAGGTTCATAATTATTATCTCACCCTCATTAAAAAAAAAACAAAAAAAATTCAATCAAATTATATATGTATACTTTATGTATTCGGATATAAAAAGTTAAATCCAGCTTTATCTACGTATGAAATGTGTAATTACCTTTATTAAGATAAAGTTTTTGTATAAAAAATTCACATGTTAATATATATTAATAAACTTAAATATTGATACGTAACTTTACTTATCGCGGATACCCCAAAACCCCAATACAATTCATTGCTGCTAAAATATGTTGTAGTGATCAGTTTTACTGTTCACTATAAAAATTTCGTGAACAGTAAAGTAAAAAAAATGGTTCCATCTTTAATATGCACCTTACTTCCATTCTATTTTTTTTAGTTTATCGCTAGGTTTCTTTTTTTTTTTTACTTTATCCTGTGACTTTTTAACAATGTAAAAATTCCGAACTCAAGATCTGGGCAATAAGTATGAACAAATGCGTAGTATTGAAGCATAAATAATAAATTAGAAGATCATACAGTGTCGATCAACCAATTTTATACTTTACTTTTACCATAAAATGTCAAAACCTGATAGTGACTCCAAAAAGCTTCAAGAAATCGTTACAAACATGTGTATTTTATATCGCAACAAAAAATCTGAAGGCGTTAAATTTCAATTAATTTTTGACGCATTAGGAAAAATTCTCAGCGAACAAAATTCGAATTCACTTGATATCATTACTGTTTGTTTAAACAATCAAACAAATCCAACAATCCTAAACATACTCGCGAGTTGTTATTATTATGGTAAAGGAGTCGAAAAAAATGATGATCAAACATTCGTTTATTTCAAAAAATCAGCTGAAATGAATGATGCTATTGGAACATATAACGTCGGAAACTGTTATAGATATGGAATCGGAACTGAAAAAAATGAACAAGAAGCATTCAGTTACTATCATAAATCCGCGGAAATGGGAAACATTCTTGGAATATATTTGGTCGGAATATGTTATGAACAAGGAATCGGAGTAGAAGATGATGATAATGAAGCCTTTAGTTATTATCTAAAATCCGCAGAAATGGGATTCCCTTACGGATTAAATCAAGTCAGTTCCTTTTATCTTAATGGACACAAAAATATAGTCGAAAAAGATGAATATAAGGCGTATATATATCTTGAACAATTATCGTCAAAATCTGATGATTATCATACTGTTACGCTTACGATTTAAGTATCATTCATAAAATGTTATCAATTTAAAAATTGAATATAAATACGTAGAAGGTCCTATTCATTTTTTTCACATCGGCCGATTTGGTTTTTGGTCCTAAGTTACACGAAATGTGTTCTTAAAAAGTAATTATAAAGCATTTGTTATAACTAATAAAAGTATCTAGACAAGATAAGATCAAATAAAATTTAATAAAACAACGCTTAATCATGGTTTTATTGGTTTGTAACTACTCACGTGTGAATTCAGAAGTAATTTTTCAAAAAGAACAGCCCTTTTCACTTACTTTTGGCCTAGTAAAATGCATAAATATCGATCTTCTACATTTTAGAATAAGCATGATAGTCGGTTACTGTTAAATCATAAATTGACTTAGACTTTAAAAATATGCTATTTAAAAAATTGGTATAATTCTCCCGGCATACATAAGATAAATAAAAGGGCAAACGCTTAAAAAATTGATTTTATAAATTCATTTTTCACTTAAGAATTAAGTTTCGTCTGGACCCGTCTGGACCCGAATCCGTTGTTATTAGCCAAAATATTAAAAGTTAGTGTATCTTAAACTCAGTTCATTCTCAGACGGCAGTCGGAAAATTACATAAAATTAAATTTTACATGTTAAATGGAGTACCAGCATTATGAGAAACTTAGCTAGCATTATTGAATTACAATAGGCTTTGCATAAAATTTACTGATCAAAAATTGATGACATATGACCCAACCAATCACATGGAATCATATGGGGTCTGTGCCTTGAAAATGACCTTACGGGACATAGTAATTACTATGTCCCGTAAGGTCATTTTCAAGGCACAGACCCCATATGATAGTATGATTTCAAATTACATGAAAATCACTTTACCGAAATTTACACAAGATTTCGCAAAATTACGCAAAATTTCAATAATTCGAATTAATTCTACCAAAATTACAAGAGTATATTTACCAGAGTTACAAATTAATTCTACCAAATTTACATGTAAGTTACAATATACATCCTCGTCAGGGTTGTAAAATTACTGTAGTTTATTGGTAAGTTACATAATAAGAAGGGGGTGGAGCATTGAAAAAAAAACAAAAATATTAATACTGCAATTTTATTGGTTTGATTTTATATATAAAATTTAAAAAATTGAGAGGGGCAAATACTATTAATTACTATTAATGTGTATTGGGTTCATATAAATTTTAAAAATAGGAGGGGGAATTATGTTAAACAAAGAATCAAATTGGTTCAGCCTAACTTACATATAGGTTGATTTTTTCATTTCATGTAGATTATACCCCAAAAATTGGTTTAATTCGGGTCAAATGAAATTTTCTTAAAGCTTTATCATCTTTTGAGTTATATTCATTATAACTATAACTCATTCTACCAACATTATGTTTGTTACCAGAGTTACGAATTAATTCTACTAAAATTATGCTAACCAAAGTTACTAATTAATTATACCAAATTATGTTTACCAGAGTTATGAATTAACGATTTAATTATATAAATGCTTTATTTTAATTTAGTTGAAAAGTCAACTTAAAGATATTTTATAAGGTTTAGATGAAGTTATATTTATTCTGATTTTCACAGTAGTAATATTTTATAAGTAGAGTTGTCTAAAAATTATGGTGAAATTTTGTTTGTGCTAAAGATTCAAAAACTTATGATATTGGTGATATTCTATTGGAGTTACAAATTATTTCTACCCAATTTATGTTTACCAGAATTACGACCTAATTCACCAGAGTTATGAATTAATTTAACTTTGATCATAGACAAACGACTTATTCTTATTTTACTAGTTTCATTATTAAATTATTTGGTATTGGTGGTAGAGGTCACTGTTTTAAAACACGTGATGACTATGGTCAGTATATATTAAATTTAAACCTCAGCATATCAAGATTATAAACATCACATGTTTTAAAACGGTGAAAAATGTTTTTTACCATCCCTAATTGGTAGTTATCAGTTAGAGCCATGATGTATCATCCAAATTCCAAGATCAGTAGAAACTTCTGTGATTATAATGGTTAATATTACAAAATCTAAACTTTCAGTTACCTAATAAATTGGCTAAATCCTTGGTTTTGTGAATGGTACTATGCTGAACATTATCTGGATGCAATACTTGTAATTGTCGCTCTTTTGGCCTGATATCATCACCCTTTTTAAATTCCTTAGCTATTTCAGAATCGGGAGCAAATAAACATTGATTCAACCATATTCCGATCGTCTCATATAACTTGCGTGCACATGGTCTGGTCTCCTCATTATTATTCCAACACCTCTGCATCAAATCAGCATATAATTCTGGTGTATTCGGTTCAATAATAGGTCTTGTTCCACGGCATATTTTTCATGTTAAATTAACATCATGCTTAACATCACCAAACGCTTTTAAACCAGTTAAGATCTCCCACATAAGAATTCCGAAGCTGTACACATCAGCTACTTTAGTATACTGTTCCGTGAGAAAGATTTCTGGTACAATATAAGGAATTCTACTGTACACCTCATCTTTCTCCGGCGGAATCGCTAGGCCCAAGTCACCAATAACGAATCAATACTCTTCTCCATGGCCTAGCTTCCTATCTTTTATCCCTTGACACATCACATTACCACTGTGTAAATCACGATGAACGAGGTCAGAATCATGAATCTGAGTAAGACCGGTGGCTATGTCATACAGAATTTTGAGTTTCTTTATATATGTGAGTGTAGAAAAATGTTCATCTAAGTACGCAGACAAGTCTCCATCGTCTGCTAATATCATTACTATCATGTAGACCTTTAAATCTGGATTATATGTTATACCATAGATGCGCAAGGTGTTGAAACGGCCTACTATCCGGTTGTTGGACTTTAGATGAGATTTGAGCTACCACGCGTAAATCATGAAAAAAGTTTTTTTGCAAATTAGAATATAAATTAAAACGCTTAGGCTAATTTTTAGAACATTAATTAATTATCATATCCACCTCTTCAACAAGCCTAGTAAGATTTTCTTCCTTTAAACTTTTTAGGGCAACATCAACGCTTGAATATCTTTCCCAAACTTCTTTTTCTATATTCCATTTAGTCCTCGGTCCATCAATCCATTTTGTACGGAACACTTTACCAAATCCACCTTCTCCGATAGCTTCGATGTTAGTTAAACTAGAGAAGGGAATCCACTCTAGAAAATTAAACTTAGTAGTAGCTGAAAGTTGAGTCTCTCGTATAAAGGTATCAATAGTTTCATTTCCATTTGTCCAATTAGAAAAATTCGATTTGAAAACATCTTGGTCACATGGTTCACACCATTCTTCATATAGTTTCTTGCGACCACATTTGGTGCAATAATATTTATGAATGTTACTGATACTTGTCGATTTTTTTAATGTGCCATTATTTAAATTTGGTATTGTATTCGGAATAGAAGTTGCGTTGTCAGGAGATTGAGAAGTATAATCAGTTGTGTTTTTACATCTTGAAATGCAATTCATTAGTGCTACAAAGTGCATACATGATATATTACTTTCATTTTTGACATTATTATCTTCACCAACAACGTTAATGGTTGTTTCTTGGAACTTATTAGAACTGAGTAGTCTAGATGTTAATTTACTAAATAAATTGCCAAAACACCCGTCACAGCAATGTTTATTATCGTCTCCTTTTGTAAATGACATTAAGAGATAATATTTAGTTGACTTTACTAGTATTTTTGTATTGTATAACTTATGCTTGTGCGCTAATTTTGAAGAAAAAAATTTTATTGAACAGTACAGATAATTTAGAAATAAACTAAAAAATGTAATTTAAAAAAAGCAATAATCTCCGGGAGAGTCGATGATTTTCTAACAATAATAATTTTTCGATCAACTATATAAATTACTTAACTACAGGAATTTTTAATGAATAGTTATACAGTACTAAATAATGTTTCAATCGATTTCATAAATTATATTTAAAAATTTTACTATAAATTATTCTAAATATGTAACAATTCAACTGATTTTAAATAAAATTAATTATACTAATGTATAATACTAATACTACACCATGAACAAATAATGCTTGAGACGCATTTGTATGTATCTGTAGAAAAATATCCATTTTTAAAAGGTCCCCGGAGGCATGAACAATCCAAAAAGGTTTTAGACATAACGTGCAACACTGCACCGTGATACAAAGGCTCAGGGCTATTTAGGTACGTAGGCTTTTCATAGAGCGTACATTTAGCATTTGGAGTCTAACTGAATACCGGTATCTTTTAATAGACACAACAGTAAATTAATTTTAGAGCAATACATGCAAATTCTCTTCCAAACTATGGAAAAGATTTTATATGAAATCAAATTTAATTGAATGCATATCTGAAACCTGTTGAGGATAATGCAGTCACACAGAAGTTCTTTTTATATTATTGAATACATATAGTGTACATACAAATTTTTTTTTCAAAACATGGAAAAGATTTAATATGAATTAAGGAAGGATATTTACAAAATTTAGTTACTTAGGTTTCGAAAGCATAACAAAAATTAAGGATAGTGTAGTCCGCAAATTTTTAGCCAACAATAACGTACGTACGTACAGTATGTACCTTTATTCTGAGACGTAAAAAGATAACTAGTGTCGCGGTGGTTTATGGTATATCATGTATTTGTTGGCTTTCCCTATTTAATTTCGCTATCCACTTAGACTGGAGTATCGTTAGGTACTCTACTACACTACAACTTGACGATTACTGTAGCGATAACTATACTTAGTTTATTATTTAATTGAATCCAAACTTCATGCAAGTTGCATTAAACCACATACTAATGCCAAATAGACTATTAATTTTCCTGCATCATGCAAAATCCCTATCATGCCATCAACCCAGCAATTTTAGGTAGCGTTCCACAAAATTTTTCCACCCCTGTAATTTTGACTAATCAAAATTTAAGATCAGGTGTAACGTGATAGTCAAAACAAACTTGGTCCTTTTAATGCATCAATATTTTCTAAAATATCGACTTCAATCGTTATCTCTACACAAAGTAATTGTAGTTTTTAGACTTCTTGCACCATACGTTGGAGTGTTTGATGTTCTATGTAAATCAAATTTATGTATAGTCCCATACTAAAATTGTGTATTGATTACCTGAGTCACCTGTAGGTTACACAATTGATAAACATTTTTTTATACGCTTTACAATACTTTTTTAAAACGCTCGGAAAGCTTAACTTTTAAAAAATGAGAAATTATACCAGATGAATTAATGCGCTCATTTTGCTTTATAACGTATCTGCTTAATCCATTTTAATCAACCAACTTTTTCTTGCAATCTGATTGGCCAATTTGCTAAAATTCATTATATAATTGGTTGACAATCATGTGTAACTATACCCG